AACGTCGGCCGCACGCAGCGGCGCCGCCTCAATCAGCGCGCGGTCACGAAGTCGTCCACCCGGCGAGCGATGCTCTTGGCCGGGCACGGGCGCCGTCGGCACGAACGGCACGTCAGCCGCCTCACCGCCCGCCCACCTCAGCGAACGGCCGCCGCTGAACGGCCGCGCCGCGCGCGAAACGGCCTGTCACAGGCGCCGTTGGACACGCTGGGGCGGCGGCGAGGCCGTGTCCGGCCTGCAGCGGCCTGGACCGCCCTGGACACACTTCATCAATATGGGATCAGGCGACCTTTCAACGGTGCACTAAGCGTGCAGTACGATGCACGGCCTATACTGTCGGAAACTGTTGAACGTTCCCGAACGGTTTAATCAGTATGCACGGAAGCTGCTATTAATGACGTTCAGCCTACCTTTCAGCTGTTCATATTCGAATTTCCCCACAGGATGTGCCGCATTTCGGCCAACTAATGAGCCGCGCTTAAGTCTGACAAATCGAGTCGACTAATGCTAGTCCACCGCCGACAGAATTCCACGAACGACGGGCGCTAAACACTGGCCCTGCGCTAACGAAATCTGATAACTTCGCCCTGAAAGTCATAAACATGTTTGGCCATTTATATCATGTTAATCAATCTGCTTTGATCAAAACATGAAAATACGACGACGCCCGACACCAGCGCGTAAGCCAGCGGTGGTGTAACGACTGGCGACCGATGATACGACAGATGAGGCAGTTCAGCGCAGCCGACGCGGGCCGTCAGTGGCGCCTCCTCCCCACGGCACCGCCACAGACCGGGCCGGGTCTATGCTGACCGCCCGGTGCTGACGGCGCTGGACTATTCACCGACGCACAGCACCGCCGCGACCATTAGCGGCGCCACGCCCCGGCGCAAGCGGCGTCAGAGGGAGGGGGAGGGGCGTCTGGGAGAGGGAGAGTCGTGTCTGGGCGGGTGCCGAGCCCCGCTGGGTCTCCCGGCGTCTCGCCGCAATCCCAGCCCGCCACTGTCTCTGCGCGCCAATCTGCCAGCCCGCATCAGCCGTACGCAGCTCTGCCTCACGAGAGTGGCCGGCGCCACCGCCACGAGAGGCCGCGGCGTCGGCGGCAGCCTCCAGTCGTGACGGCGCGCCACAGCGGCACTCCGCCCGGGCCGGTCCAGGGGGGCACGGCCGGCCGGCACGCTCCGGGCGCGGGTTTACGACGCCTTTGACGGCGACCGCCCGCTGGACGGCGCGCATGGCAACCGCGCTCGACCGGAGCAGTGACCGGGGGGACCTGACCTCCACATGGGCCGAAGAGAAACGGGCGCGGACAGCCGTGGCGGTCAGGGCTCTGCATCAGCGCTGTGGACGGCGCCGTCGCTGAAGAGGTCATGGTGACCCGGCAGAACAGAGTGCAACGGAGCACTGTGCGATGACACCCGGCTCTTGCTATGCTGTACTATGCTACACATACCAGATCCACGGACAGTGAGCCTGCCTAACATCGATGGTCCCGCCCGGTGGTCGATGGTTACCCGCTGCTTATCGGGTGACCCATCGATGATTTCTCGAAGGTCCGATGGCCCCACTTTCGTCACCCATACCCCGTCGGCCCGCGGCGGGTCGACCCTGAACGGTCGTGCTTTGCTCTAACTTCTTCTCAGTCCTGCTGCTCACGCCTTCTCCCACTGTTCGGCGGGACAGTCCCAGTCCTGCGGCAGCGCGCGTCGCCACCAGACCGCGACGCCGGTCAGTACGCGCCGGTCGAGACCAGCCCCGCGGCGCCCTATCTGACAGCCCGGCATCGGGGTCAAGTGGCGCGATAGCAGCGCTGGGCCGACCCGGGCGCTACAAGGCTGGGCGTCGCCGTCACAAGCTGAGCGTGTTAGCGCGCCCAGCCAACGGACAAGAAGCCGCGCGTGCGTGTTGCCCAACGGCCCGTTGTATGACAGGCAGAGCAGTAATGTATAACACACGGCGATCCTATTCCCATCGCAACTAATGACGCATTTAAAGAAGCGCTTCCCATCCACCAGTCGACAAAGGCTTCTTGTTAGGCACATCCGAGAGCAGCTCAGTATCTCCTTTGAGGGAGTGCCACAAAGCGCGCTTGTACGTTGGATGCCAAACCATGTCTGACTTGTTTTAATCCTTCGACGATAAAAAGGTTGTACGAGAGGCCTTAACCTGAAGGCTGGTACAGACGGTACCTGACCTGCCGCAATGCGATTGCCTTCAGGGTCCAATCCACCGCTTGCTTGAATGAGTACTTCAGAATGAAACCGAACGATATCCTCGCCAAGGTTTTGTCCCCAGTGAAGGTTAACAAGCGCTCGAACGCGCCAACATATCTAACCTTTGTTCTCGAAGCAAAGCCACAAAGCATCCGCCTTGGATCGATCCCGAGCAGCGGCGCCTGGCCGCCAGACCTGACTCAGCCGGGACAGAGCGCCGCTGACCTATCCCAACGGCGGCTGGCCGCTCTTGCCCCGCGGCGCTGCCGGCCGGCCGTCCTCGCCCCGCGGCGCTGCCGACCGGTCACCCTCGCCCCGCGGTGCTGCGGTGTTGCCGGCCACCCTCCCCCGCGGTGCTGCGGTGCTGCCGGCCACCCTCCCCCGCGGTGCTGCGGTGCTGCCGGCCATCGTCGTCCCGCGGCGCTGCCGGCTGGCCACCCTCGCCCCACGGCGCTGCGGTGCTGCCGGCTGGCCACCCTCGCCCCACGGTGCAGCGGTGCTGCCGGCCATCGTCGCCCCGCGGCGCTGCCGGCTGGCCACCCTCGCCGTCCGGCCGTCTGGCCAGGCAGCAGGGCGGCAGCGGCACGCTGCAGAGCCTGCCCGGCGGTCCGGCCGGCCGGCCTCAGCATGTCGGCCCGCGGGGGTCATCGGCGCTCGCTCCGTCGGCGTGACGTAGCGGCTCGATGCCGTCGGCGCGACGGGGACTCGCGGCTATCCCTGCCCGAGGACACCTCGGGGTTCGACGTCGGCTGAGGATCGGACAACTGACACGCACCCCCTGCGCTGTGGGGAGGGGATGCTCTTGAATCATCGCTCGGGAACAGCTCGGGTTCGGCGCCCGGTGCGAATCTGACGGGTGACGTAGCCCTCCACGTGGTGGAGTCGGCGACCATTCAACACATCACTGCACCTGAGCGCGAGGCACGCCGATGACCGGAGCCGGCGTCTTCGTTTCAATGTCGTGCGTCACCTGGCATCGCAGGTCATTTTCAGTCAAGGAATAGGCAGTTCCATTTGCTGGCAGCGGCTGGTCGGTGTGGGTCGGATCACGCAGATGATCAGACGCGCTTCATGCGTGACAAGCAAGATTAGATCTGCTGGTGTCATCACCATGACTGTTATAGCCGTCGCTTGTACGGACGCGACATTAAAGCAGTTTGTCATCCCAGATGTGACACTGCGGCCAGATATCGGCACGGATCAGACGCGCAGTGCCTGGTTCCCTCTGCACTCCCGCTAGCTCCGCACATAGGACCAACGTCGGCCCGGCGGCGGGCCAGGCGCATCGCCAGTGTTCCCCAGTCACAGCTGCCAAGCCCGGGGACGCGCTGCGGTAAACCCCGCAGGAAAACAGCCACTGACGTGTGGTCGCCATGCTGCGCGAGCATTGGCCACCCGCCAGCTGCGTGGGCGCACGGCTGCAACCAGCAGGCCGGCAGCGGCGGCGCTCGGCGCCGAGACACGGCCGGGCCGCTGCCGTCATCGGTGGCGCCAACACCCGCGGCGTGTCCGGGAGGCGCGCCGCCGCGGGCGGCGGCGCCGGATTTCCGCACCGGACGAAGAGCGTAACGCGGCACCACGGAGCGCTACGCGGCGCGCCGCGGGCCGTCTTACGTAGCCGCTTCCCAGAGAACTCAGGTCCGGAACCGTTCACAAAGCACGGCTGGAAAGATTTCCAGGAAGTTCCCCGCCGTAGGACACGTGGATTCCGAGAAGCGGTCGCCGGGTACCTCTCATAACTTGATCTATAGAAGCTCCAGAGGCTGATTTTCCATCTGAAGATACGTCTGGGTTTTTCACAAGTGAACACTTCTAAAGTTATGAAGTTAAACCGACTGGGAACTTCAAAAGAACAAGGATTCAACACAATCGAAGTTACTCGTGGTACAAGATAGCACAGTCCGTGCTTGTTCTTTCTGCCGGTGACCTGACCATAATTAAGGTATGAATAATAATAACAATAAATGATGGTGCATGCCCTGACCATAATTAATGGTTGCGAGCAGCAGCGTCGATTTTTGCAAATGACTGTGGGGCCAAAGGCTTGTCAACTTTTCTCCTCCAACTCTTCTCATCGACTTTGACTTCATTTTGATGCACGGCAATTTACATTCCTGGTTCCGAATCAAATATATAACTATTTGTTTAAGCAAAATGGAAGATACAGCCACTAAATAAAAAAGGTAGGTTTCGAGTAATCGCCATTTTTCCAGCATTCCAGTCATCGTCGTCATTGGGGCTTTACGATGCGCCCAGCTGCCGAGGCTACGGAGCGTCACCGGCATCTCACCCAGGGACTGCCAGGAATCGAACCCGGTACCTCTGATTTTCCCGACGCGCGACATACTTTCGAATGCCAAAGACTGTCTGGATAGCAAAATTTCGCCCGTTGATAGCTATAGTTCTCATTGCGTTATTTTTTTGTGTCATGGGACGTTTTTATGATGTTAGAGAAACTGCCCGAGTTGCCGCGTCAGAATTACCGTTGTAGCGGACGGCATGACTCACTTGTAACATCTATACGCGCCGCGAGGTGGCGCCGTTGATTCGTGTCCGAGTTTAGCGAACCAGCATACGTGCGTATGTGCTTGGGCTTTTCTCGTGTTCTCACGCGAGAACAACAGCACAGGTTAAACTTGACCAGATCTCCCTGTCAGCTGACGCGCCTGCTGCTACACTTGCCACACCACACTGCCCACCAACGCTTGCGGTCCGACTGGACACCGCGCCGCGTCCAGCCTCGCCAGCGTCCCTCCCAGCGGCGCGTCCCGCGTCCCGCTGTCTCACCGGCACGAAGTGCGGCCCGTCCGGCTCGGCGACGCTCCCCAGCACGGCCGTGTTGGTGGCCGCGTTGTAGCCGCCCAGCCGGGCCAGCGCGCGCACGCGCACGTTCCGCCAGCCGTCGGTGCTGGCGACACAGCTCAGCTCCTCCAGTCCGATGCGCACGTGAGGTCGGCCGTCGCTCATGGGGACGGCCGGGCCCTGCTGGACGCGCCGCGCCGCCCGCTGCTGCTCCGCCTGCCGACACGACACGGCGCTGGGTCATGGCTGGCGTCACGGTCGCCGGAGGGTGGCGCTCGAAGGCGCCGGCCGACAGGCGTCCCTCACGGGACAGGAGGCGCACAGGGGTGTTAACGGTTTATGTCAGGGACGCTCAGCACTGAGTTGAGTGGTTGTCGCGCACAGACCTTGCTCGAGGATGCCGGTAGTGTAGTGGTTAAGCCGCGCGGCTGGAAAACCAGGGGTGCGGGGTTCGATTCCTCGCGATGCCTGCCTGTGCTGCCAGGGTGAGAGGCAGGCGCCGCCATGTATGGCATCACCAGCTAGCTGCCTCGTAAAGCCGCGATAAGAGAGAACCTGGTTCACTCACACCATCACCGCCCTCCCCCGGTGTCAGGCCTGAGCCGTACCCACCGCGCTCTGACCATGCCCGTCCGTTCCAGAGCCCAATCGAGAACTGGAGCTGCCACTCCGCGCACGCCCCACCGGCGCCCGTGCGCCGTTCGCCAACGACGTTACTCAGGCAGGCTTCCCACAGAAACAATGTAGAAGGCGGCACTGTTGCGCGACTATTTGGAGTGTGCTCGGGGCGACGACCGCGCCGCTGTCGCAACGGCATGATCGATCGTCTTCCATTGAAGCAGGATCGTGACGCAACCGCCGCATTCCGAGGGCGCAAACAACGACGTCCAGGTACGCCGCAGTCGTCGGCGAAGGGAGTGAATGGGTGCCGGGTTAGGTACGGTAACCAGCCACAGGACAAGCCGCCACATGCGGGTCCGTTCCCAGCCAGCCGGGCCCTCTGGCACGGCTGCGGGCCCACATAGCCCGCAGCACAGCGGGGCTACGACACCGCTCCGGCGCGCCGGCGGCGCTGGACGTCATGGTCCGCACGTGCGTGGCGTCCGACAAGGCCACACGTGACCGGCGGGAGACACGGAGAGCGGGGAGCGGCGCCCCACAGGGTCTGGTTCAGCGCGACCCGACGGCACGGCGCCGCGATCGCCGCAGGCGCCGCCGACGGCGTCAAAACAGCCGTCTGTCAGGACGGCGACGAACGGCAGCAAGCACACACCACCCGCAACCGCACTTGCGGGCGAGCGCGGGCCGCCGCGACCGCCAAGGCCAAACACAGCAAGGCCGCCAGAGCCGCAGGCTGATATCCGCCGAGCAACGCCGACGCGGTCCGCTGCTTCCGCCGCCGGTGCCGGCTCTGATGACAAGAACGCACTTGACGGGCGCGGACCGGACGGTGTGAGCAGGGGTCGGCCAGGCTAGGTGACGCACCAGGCCGCGCCGGCCAGACCGGGCGGCGCCCGAGCCCGCCCGGCCGCCCAGCTGCCGGCTCCCACGTGGGTGGCCCCCGGTGCCGGACCCGGTCGATTCGGCGCCGATGCCCGGCGGCCGGCCAGAGACGAGCGGCCATCGATCTGCGCGCCGCCGGCGGTCCCGGCCGCGGCCGCACCGGGTCGAGCCCGTTCACGGTCAGGCCAGGCCGGCCCGACCCGCCCCGCCCCGGCGGCGAAGGGGGCGAGGCGAGGCGAGGCGAGGAGAGGCGGGGCAGGGCGGATCGGAGCAGGGCGCGCCCAAACGGTGTCGGACTCGCTCCCGGGCAGGTCAGCCCAGCGGCGGGCGGGGCGCGGCAGACGGCCTGCAGCCACCAGCCAGATGCATACAAACTGCCACTTCCACCAAAGCCTAATTGCGCAGCGCACGCCTGCGGGTCGGAGAGTGCTCCAACCGATTTGCGCTACTCGTCAATGATACACACACACCTATTACGGAATGCTGAGCAGTTTTGGGCCGACACGGCTCGACAGTGTGATTACAAACAATACTTGTGACGTTGCTTTATGACACTGGCTACTGGATGCCTAGCTGGACGATGAGCGGGACGAAGATTGACAGACACTGGCTGAGAGCGAATGGGACAACGTGGACCCAGCCGCACCGAGTGAAGCTGCGATTTCCTCTGCCGTGCTCACCGATCGGCCAACTGGGACCAGACGGGCCTGACAGAACCCTGCTAGAACGGATCAGCATCGAGCAAATACGACACCGAATGAGTGTCAGAAACAGAAGGCAAACAAAAGGAGACCGGGACTGATAAAAACCGGTTGTTTTTGGCAGTCAGCCAGCATTTGGTTCTCAAATAGCGGCACCCGGCGGCTCGGGGTATAGCCGTCCGAGGGCCTGTCTGCGTCACAGCGCACTCTAGCGGGCTGGGGTACAGCCGTCCCAGGGCCTGCTGCGTCACAGCGCACCCCAGCGGTCTGGGGTACAGCCGTCCCAGGGTCTGCTGCGTCACAGCGCACCCCAGCGGTCTGGGATACAGCCGTCCCAGGGCCTGCCGCGTCACAGCGCACCCCACCGGCCCCGACGCGCCACACAACAACCAAATAGTTTACTATAAAGGTATGTTAGCGATAATCATCACTATCATCATAATCACACTACTAATAGACCGTCAGTCGGCCGTCTGACCGAAGCAAAAAAGAAATGCAGTACGTGGGGCGTAGTAGCGGCTGCCGTTCCCACGTATCAGCTGATCTGATCCTGTGACGTCACGCCTGGAGCAGGGCGGTACGCCAGAGTACGTCCGACATCGCTGACACGCTGGTGTTAATGGAACAGGTGGATAAGGATCGTCGGCAGCTGCAGCAGGCATGCAGGATAGTACCAAGCCATCAGAAATGCGGCCCGCCGTGCCAGCAGTGGCTCAGCAACAGTGGGTCCAGTCTTGTAACAACAGACAGACGCGCTATCCAGTGCCAAACGGTTCGCAGCGCTGTCACAAAGGAACATTTCCAGAAAGTTACAGACGCCATTTCCGTTCATATCAGCCGGGTTGTGTTCCACGAAACGCCACGGATATCTTTCGGGCGCAAGCCAGCGACGAGGACCTCATTCTCGCGGAAGTACCGCAACGCCTTTCCGTGAAACAACTTTCAACGCCAGAAAGTATCGCATTTCCCCGCCTTGAATAAGTGATAGCCGAATTCCCATTCCTGCTTCGTCGGCGGGTTTGGCTGCTGGCGAGTTTCACGACTGGGCGCTGATCGCCTTTGCCAACACCCGGCTTGACAGCCCACACGGGAGCAATCATGGCCAACATCCATCACCTGATAAGCGTGGCGGCCGGGTGGTCACCCGACACGGGCTAGATCAGCTGGCGCACGCGTCAGCTACCCGGATCAGCTGACCAATCAGCTGATGGCCTCCGAACAGCTTCGGTCAGCTGACTACCGCCGAACACTCGTGAACAACCGAGGTCCAGAGGCGGTCTTCGCCAGCTAAGTGACGAGAACAACTTGCGACGACCGAGAGGTACTGAGCACCTCGGATGCTCGCTGATCGGATATGTCAACCACCTGCCACGAGCTCGTCACCACCCGGGGACCTGCACCGCCCTCCTCACCACCCGGGGACCTGCTCCGAGTCCTCACCACCCGGGGACCTGCACCGCCCTCCTCACCACCCGGGGACCTGCACCGCCCTCCTCACCATCCGGGGACCTGCTCCGAGTCCTCACCACCCGGGGACCTGCACCGCCCTCCTCACCACCCGGAGCGGGCGGCAAGCAATCGTCCCCCCCCCCCCCCCCTCCGTGCCGCTAGCATCGCACCGAGCCTGATGGCCGTCAGCGCCCTGCCGGCTCTGTTCGAGAACCCGGTGGGTACGGGCGACCACAGCCTGCCCGCCGGTCACTGCTGGCCTCCGGGGGCCGGTCGGGCACCGACCCTCCTTCCGCCGTGTCAGCCTCGCAGCGCCACCGACGCACAACGGCGCCGCATCGCCCTCACGGTCCTCTTCCGACGGGTTCAATCACGAAGCGGAAGTCATGCTGCCGCCGCCACACCTCACGCCGCTTCCAGCGGAGAAAGTCAGCACAAGCCCGATGTGGGTGTCGAGCCCCGACCACTCCGTCACGGATCTCGGACGCTCGAAACGCCCTGCCACGGGTCTCCAACTCCTGACCGCCCTGTCATCTCGGACCCTCGACCGTCCTGTCACGGACCTCGAGTTCCTGACCGCCCTTCCATCTCGGACCCTCGACTGTCCTGTCACGGACCCTCGAGATCCTGACCGCCCTTCCATCTCGGACGCTCGACTGTCCTGTCACGGACCTCGACCTCCTGACCGCCCTGTCATCTCCGACCCTCGACTACACTGTCACGGACCTCGAGCTCCTGACCGCCCCGTCATCTCCCGACCTTCGACTGCCCCTGCCACGGGTCCCTCGACACGCTCTGCCCGCACGCCCGCAGCGTCCCGACGCTCCTGGCCTGGTGGACGCGCGGGCAGCGACGGCGGCGCGGCCCTTAAGACGCCGTCGACGGCCGGTAATGGCGCGCACATCAGCGCCCCCGACGAACCTCTCCAGCCGAACGTCACGGCGAGCAAATCAGCGTGCTGGCGGTCGGCGAACCCGCATCGACCGGGCGCGGGACGCAGTGCTCCGCGGTCATCGCCTCGGGGCGGCCTCGGCGACGCAGCGGCGGAGGCGGCGGCCGGGCCGACAGAGGCCGCAGGCGTGATCCAATCACAGGCGTGAATGGCGCGGCGTGCAGCGGCCCGCTCGATACGGCGCCCGCGGCGCTACGGGGGCCGCGGTCACGCCACTCCAGGTGACGTCGCGCGTCAACCCCGATCCCCTCGGTCGACTGCGCCGCGGGGAGGCATCGACCGCTCAGGCCGACCGGCCCAGCTGGGCACTGGCGGCGGCCGCAGCGGCGCCGGCCCGGAGACTGAGGCGCGCCGCCGCCGTCAGCCCCACCCCGCCGCGGATGGTGTCGTGTGGGCGGCCACAGATCAGGGAGTATCAGGGGTAGTAGCACGGGATGGCAAAAACTCATCCGAGGGCACCGTCCCATAGCGCGACTTGCTGCGGCAACAGCGTACGTGCGAACGAGGCGCACCGGACATCCTGGTCATGGTCACGCCACACACACCCCAGTCCACACGATTGCAGGTTAGTCACGGGTCTCATTTCGGCCCAGTCACGGCCACACAGAAAGTCACGGTCGCGCCGGACGCCAGCTGCCGGCCCGCTGCCCGCAGTAACGAGATACAAACCAAACGCGGACGGCGATAACGAAG